AACCTGAATACTATGCAAGAATAGCAAGTGTTCTTAACCACTGAGCCAACTTAATGACCCCTATACTATTTTTAAATAAATTGGGGGGGGGAACACGTGCATGCCACAGCGAGTGTGAAAGGATAATTCTGTGCAGTAATATCTCTCCTTCCACCTTCACATGGGTTCCGGGAACTGAACTCGGGTCCTCAAGCTTGCACAGCAAACTCCTGAGCCATCCTGCCATCCCTCACACAATCTTGGTAATCGCCTGAAAACCTAAAACTGCTCTAAAATTAAGAGTTTATTTTAAAGCCAGGCAGTGACAGCACATGTCTTAAATTCCAACACTCAGGAGACAGGTGTATCTCTGTGTTCAAAGCCAGCCTGGTCTACAGAATGAGCTCCAGGACAGCCAGAGCTGCACAGAGAAACCCTGTTTTGAAAAACCAAAACTACGGTGTAGGGAGATGACTTAGCTATTAAGAGCACTGGTTGTTCTTACAGGTCCTTAATTCAATTCCCACGTACCACAGGGTGGCTCACAACCATCTGTAATGAGATCTGGTACCCTCTTCTGGCCTGTAGGCATACATTGTAGGAGAACACGGTATACATAATATTTTTTAAAAATGAAAAAAAAAGGTTATTTTAAAAAAGAAAACTGCTACCTAAGCTCCCCCCTTTTTTTTTTTTACTTTTTTCTGATGTGGAATTCCCCTCTATATGCTGTGAATATGTTTTATTACCATTGGTTAATAAAGAAGCTGCTTCAGCCTATGGCAGGGCAGAATATAGCAAGGTGGGAAATCCAAGCAGAGATAAAGGAGAAAGAAGGTGGAGTCGGCCTGGTCAACAGAATGAGTTCCAGGACAGTCAGAGTTATTACTCAGAGAAATCCTATTTCCCCATCGTCCCCCATTTCTCCACAACACAAAAACAAAAAATAAAAAGATAAAATTCCTATACATAAAAGTAAAGCAACTATCTTTCCAAATCTTTCGGTAGTATTTTTTTTTTCTTTTTTGGTTTTTTGAGAGCTCTGTAGCTTTGGAGACTGTCCAGGAACTAGCTCTTGAAAACCAGGCTGGCCTCGAACTCACAGAGTTTCACATGCCTTTGCCTTCCCAGTGTTGGGATTAAAGGCATGAGCCACCAATGCCCAGCCATGCAGTCATTTTTATATGGTTATCGTACTAAATTTGTTCCTAATATTTTCAAGTATAAGAAACATAGTGTGACAACTGGGAAATTGCAGAATAACATGGTAAGTCAATATTTACTGATGAGGAAAATTTGGTTATTCTAGACAGAGGAACAGAACCGTGTGTGTGTGTGTGTGTGTGTGTGTGTGTGTGTGTGTGTGAGAGAGAGAGAGAGAGAGAGAGAGAGAGAGAGAGAGAGAGAGAAAGAGAGAGAGAGAGAATGTGGTATGTGTCTGGTGCACATGTTTATACACCCACACAAGATTTATTAAGTCAGCTTTAAAATAAATCCCACCTCAAAGCTGAGAAATCTGTAGGTACTCAGTCTTTGAGTATAGATGGGACAAAGTTCTTGTGCTCACAGATAAGCACTAATAAGTCATGTGTTTCCAGGTATGAAATAGGTAAGAAACCAACTGAATTCTTGTTTGATCTTTATAAGCAGAAAACTTCTCAAACAAATGGAAAAGAGGCTACTTTGGATCATGGCAAAAGGGAAACTTGATCTGTGAACTAACTTCCAGACTTGAGCCAGCTTGTAGACGCAGAATCCCTTGAATGAAAAGAGACAGTGTCGTTTGAGGAAAGATCTTGATAAAATACTTAAGAGTCACACTGGGCAGTACTGGTGGACGTCTTTAATCCCAGCACTCGGGAGGCAGAGGGAGAGACAGATCTAAGTGAGTTTTAAGGCCAGCCTGTCTACAGAGTAAGTTTCAGGACAGCCAGGACTGGTACACAGAGAAACCCTGTCTCAAAAAAAAAAAAAAAAAAGGAAGCCACAAAATACTTAAAAGTTTTACTGTTAGCCTTTCTTCAGTCCTTCTGCTCTTTTCAAGGATCAACTGTACCACTGGGTAAAAAGAAGCAATTGGACTTTCAGATACTGGTTCTGAATTGATGCTGATTCTCCCAAGAAACAAACAAAAAATCCAAAATAATCACTAAAAAAATGGAATTAAGATTTGAGTTGTTGGTAGCTAGTAAAATGGCTAAACAAGTAAAAGTGCTTGTCTTCAAGTCTGACCTGGGGTTAATGAGATCATGGAACTACAACCACCATTTTACTAAGCCAGCATAATTCCCAACTATATTCTACTTATCCTTATCCCCACAGATGAGAGTAGCTCTCAGCTCTCATCAAAGAAGCTTTCCTTTGTAACATTGACCATTAAGTAAAACTGTGACTGGTCAAAGTGCAGAAAACAACTGATCGTGGGGTGTCTTTTATGACTTATCCTGTCTAAGAGACAAGCCCCGCCCACTCCCCCCTTTAGCCTCAAGCCTGCACTGCTTTCTCTCTCTCTCTCTCTCTCTCTCCCTCCCTCCCTCCCTCCCTCCCTCCCTCCCTCTGTCTCTCTTCTAAAGAGGTGGCTGCTGCAGCCTCTATTCCACTCCCCCATCCACCCTTCCCAACACCCCTCCCCTCCCACAACCCAGTGAATAAACTATACCCAAACACTCTCTTTGCATGGCGTGCCTATCCGTCTCTCACCCGGTGCAGCTCCTCTTGGAACTGGCTGCCTCAACCCACTGAGGTCTCTCACCTGCCTGAGACCCACAGAGAACTCAGGTGGTGGGACTGGCGGACCAGCTACCCCTCATGGCCCACTGCCGCCCCTTGGGGAACTGTGCTGTTTTATCTAAATCATTATGGTGTCGAGTATCAATGGATAGATAATTCAACATAACAGCACTCAAGGCTCAAAACATCACAGAAGAGGGAAGAGGAACATCATAAGAATTAGGGAAGTCTGCTCCAAGAGTGTGTCTCATAGAAATAACATGGAAGTTACACTAGTGATACCTCAACAATATAGTTGCCTAAACAAGAACACACACAGCATGGCGGCACAGGCCTTTAATCCAAGCACTCAGGAGGTAGAGACAAGCAGATCTCCATGAGTTCAAGGCTAGCCAGATCTACAGAGAGTTTCGGGACAGCCAGGGCTGTTACACAGAAAAACTCTCTCAAAAACCAAATAATAGTAATTATAATAATTTTTTTTTCTAAACCTGACCTTATTGTCTCTTCAATAAGTCTGTCTCCCACTTTCCCAGTTGTTTTCTATGCAGTTAGGCAAGCTATAAAGACTTTGCTCTGTAATTAAACTGTATTAGGATTCCCATACATCCAAGGCAAACCTTTACACCCAGTGTTCTTACCCTTCATATGCTCGTTTCAACATCCTCACTTAAACCCTCCTTCTCGCTGTCCATCACTCCATCATCCCCACCCCACTATTATCGTTCTCCACTTCATCCAGGCTGTAATTCCTGGGTCTTCCCTGACCTGCGTATTTTATGTTACTAAAGAAGAGAATCGCAAGCACATGTTCAAAGTTTTAAGTTTACTAATTTCCTTCTGCCCTATGGCTTGGGTGGCTACAGCTCTTTGGTATAACGCCTATGACCTTTAACAATCCTTTTTTAGCCCTAGTGCATTCAATAAATGTTACATTACCATTTCTATGTATGACAGCATGGGGGGGGGTGAAAAACACCAAGATAAAGTATTTCTCAAATACTTTTATAGCACATAAACTCAAGAGTAATTCCTATAGACTATTAATATTATTTAAGATAGGTATTTTTATACCAAGTACAGACTTCAGTAATCTCCATGACACATCTCATACAGTAGACAAAAATCTTTTAAGAAAGTTGGTTTTTCTTAAAACTGTAATACAATGGCAAATATTTTGTTCCTACCCTGTACAATGGAAAATGTCAAGTATTTACAAGCAGGAAAAAAAAAAAGATATCCCACATCACTCAGCTTAAATACTCAATCATCTTACAAAGAATATTGCTTTTTCTGTAATGTCCATATATTCTACCCTCCTAACAGTAGATTATTGTGAATCTAGCTGCAAACATCCATAAATATTTCATGTATGCCTACATGCTAAAAGATACCACAGAGAGATGCGTATAAAGATATTGTCAGTTGTCAAGGAAGTTCTTATGTTGGTGAATCAGATTTCTGATATTAAGTATGCCATAGTAAGTCATGGATTAGTCAGAGAAATTTGTCTATTAGAAAACACATTTATTACATTTTTCTCTACTGCACTTTCTTACGAGTTAAACAACTCGAAAGTAAAAAATTGGGAGACAGTTTTTAATTTTTAAATGTTTTATTAGCATGTATTAATTATACATAACATTTTATTGTGACCATTTGTACATATATACAATATATTCCAATCACATTTGTCTCCCTGTTACCTTCATCTGTCTCACTTCTATCTCCATTAATCCCCTTCCCTTCCCAACTAGCTCTCTTTGGGCAGCTTACCAGTAGTTACACCACGGAAGAAAGTATCTTTCCTTCCTCTATCAGTCAATAACCACATATAATCAGAAGAGACCCATTAAATTCCTTAGTTCCCACCTTGTTTTGTTTTGTTTTGTTATTGAGACAAAAACTCAATATAAAGCCTGGAACTCAATATAAAGCCCACACTAGTCTCAAACTCAGTAATTATCCTGGATCAGGCCCCTAAGCATTAGAACTATAGCCATGTACAGAAAAAAACACAGAAAAAAAATAGATTTTAACAGTGTCAATTGGAATAAGATCATTGGTAAAGGGGTTTTGAAAGTTCTAAAGAAAGAGATAGGGAAACATTGTACACAAAGACCTTCCACCTCCTAGAGACAACTGACATTATTCATATGACTCATTTGGTATGTGATGACACACCTAACACTATGTAACTATTGTATACAAAGAATTCTTATAATTTTATATTTTCTAGAAGAACTGCAACAAAATTGAATCCAGAATTTTTTTTATTCAACAATCCTTACCTTTTGTTGGACTGGAATTCTGATCTATAAAGTCCCTCAGTTCTGCATTTGTAGATGTCAAACAAACCTGGATTAAAAAAAAAATACTAGGATCTGAAGTATTATGGCATTACTTAAAAACTATTTTTATATTTTTAGCCAGAGGTAGTATCAAGTATTATATAAAGTATTATGAAATAAATCAATTATATCATCCATAGGAATATATTACTAAAAAGAAAATCTTACTATATTGATTTAAATGGGAAAACTAAGAATTTTAGATTAAAAGTTAATGGAATGTCACTTATGAAAATCCACAGATTTTCTAAATATTTTGAAGGCAAGTAATATGGCAGCTGTCAACAGATAAATCACAATTCCATCCTGAGAGCTGGAGGCTTGGCTGAGCAGCAGAACACTTGCCTTGCATGTACAATGCCCTGGTTTGATCTCTAGCATTATAAAAATAAGAGTAATTATATCCTCATTGCTGCCCTTAATTTTTAATGTTCTTAATCACTTCTACAATGTTTTTAAGAACTACTACAGAAGTACAATGAATGTCCCAAGTACAATGACAGCAGCATCAAGCCCATTTATCTGGGTCCACATTGGCTCATAAAGGCCACTGTTAATGTGCTCTGGTCAAGCCATTCAAATTACACATTTGCAAATTAGAATGTGCTGCCAGGACTTATCAGTTCTGGTTGTTATGCAGACCTAAGGAGCTGAGTAATGCAAAGTATGCAGCACAGTACATGGCTCACACTCTTCAGTCCAAGTCAACACTCTTTACTAGTTAGTGCTGTGTATCAGCAAACAATCTGTCTTCAGATAGTTTATTTCACTTAATGTAATAGCCACAAGGCTATCTGGTATCAGAGATGAAAATGTAGTATCATAAGAAATATTTGGTTTTTGCTGTGGATATAAGGCTTCACAGACCCCAGGCTGGCCTCAGACTGTACAGCTGAGGATTAATCTTCTGATCCTCCTGAAATTACAGGAAAGCTTGACCACACCCAATTTTCATCAAAACTCTAAAAATCTGTTTCAGAGCCTAAGGGAATCTCCATTTTGAAAACTTGGGATAGGGACCATCAAGATGGCTCAGTCCATAAGTGCTTGCTGAGTAAGCCTGAAGATTTGAGTTCAAACTCAAACTCACATAAGAATAAAGGGAGAATCACTTCCAAAGTTGTCCTCTAACCTCCACAAGACACAATAGCCCATAGCCCCCCCCACTACTCCCACTGCATCATATACGCACATATGATATTTTTTAAGATTTAAAAAAAAAAAACTTTAGCTCAATCTCTAAATTCAAAGCTAGCCTGGTCTACAGAGCATGTTCCAGTACATTTAAGGCTACATAAAGAAACCCTGTCTTGAAGAAAACAAAACAAACAAAACCCCAACAACTTAGCTCAAAGCATATTATAGTAAATAGACCTATTATTACTGTATTTATATTTTATACATTAACGTGTTATAATCTTATAACATTACAAACTGGTAATATTCTGCAAACTTTCTGTCTCTTTAAGAGACAAGCCACGCCCATTCCCTCCTCCATCTACTGGAGGCAGCTTCTGCCTCTCTCTCCACTTCCTCCCCCACTTCTGTCTCTCTCTTCTCTCTTCTCTCTCTCTCTCTCGCTCTCTCTCTCGCTCTCTCTAGTTTGATAACTCAAACCCTCTTTTCAAAGATACCTTTGAAACAGTTTTATTGGACTGGAATGCATTATATGGCCTCAAATTATTGGTCCTTATCTTGATGTTTTGATACATGTTTAAATTATTAAATGATCACTACAATCAAGCTAAATAGGAAATCCTTACTTTTATGGTAGGTTGTATGTATGCATGAGTATGTGTACTGAGTCGATTTAATTTAATATTGATCTATGCTGGTATAGTTCAGCAGGCTTTGCCTTGCATGCACAAGTCTCTGGGTTCAATTCTCAGTACTGACTCTACCTCTCCCAAAAAACTATCCTCATAACAAATTACAAGTATACAAAATGACACTAAAATGAGCATCACCATTCCATGAGCAAATCAGCTCTTCAGTAACTTAAAAGAATTTAAAGAACACGAGATTTTGAAACTTTTTACACTTGACTTTAAAAAATATATTATTTTATGTATATGGGTAGTTTGTCTACACATGTGTATGTATGTATGTATGTATGATGCATGCATGATGTAGTGTGTGTGTATCTGTGCACCTTGTGTGCCTGGTACGCACAAAAGCCAGAAGAGGGCATCAGAGCCTTTGGGACTATTGTCATAGACCATTGTAAGCTACTGTGTGATGCTAGAAAACCCATGACTTCTAAAAGACCAGTAAGTCCTTTTAACTACTGCGCCATCTCTTCAACCTTTCTGTACCCTGTGAATATATGTTGTTCTTGTAATAAAAGCCGAATTGGTCTATAGCCACACAGAATACAAGTAGGCAGGAAAGTTAAATGGAGATACAGAGAGAAGGGTGGGGCTGAAAGAAACGCGAGCAACCATCCAAGAAACAAGATGCCAGCAAACTGGTAAAAGCCATGGTCACGTGGCAATACACAGATTAATAGAAATGGGCTAATTTAAATATAAGAACTAGTTAGTGATAAGCTTAATCTATAAGTCAAACATTCTTTATTAATATTAAGCCTCTGAGAGATTATTTATAAGCGGTTATGGGACAGGGGACAGAGAAACCTCCATTATACCAGGCTCACACTGGACTGACTTACATTATATATTCTCCATAAGCACTCCTTATGGTGTTGGTCTTTTACAACCTAATAGTTGAAGAGCTATTGATTCCTTCAGTGGTTAAAATTCTTTACTAAGAGAAATTTCCTTTTATCAAAATATCTCTATGTATCATTCAACACAGCCAAGTAATTCTGATATAATAGATAAAGGGCACCTAAAATCAAGTTTTTATGACCAAAATTGACACTGAGATGTCATTTAGAAACTAGCTTCTAAATTCTATGCAACAGTGTAGATGCTTTGCACTGAGACGTAAGTTTAATTAGACTTCAAAAATGTAACAAATAGTCACATTATGGTTCTCCTGGATTACTCTAAAATATAATGTTAAACATTTAAGCAACTGAACATCTGTTGAGCTGTGTGTTGTTATCACTAAGGAGCCCACTCAATTGTAAGCAATTCTGCTAGAGAAGACAAAGCTTTAGGTAAAGGCACTTTCTGCCAGTCAGTCCTCAGGACCTACATGGTAAAAAGAGAACCAACTTCAGAAAGCAACACACCCTGAGCATCATCCCACAAAAGTGTCTGTCCTACTTTGAAAAGAAAACAAAACTGGAAAAGACAACTTTAAATATATTTATCCTTTGTTTTAATACAGGACCATTTAATATACAGTAACTTCAGGAGAGTTATTTTACATTTCTCTTATTTTATAAAACTAACAATTAAAAAAAAAAACCTCAACAAAAACCACATACTCACAGTACAGATGTCAGTTACTAGGTTACTGTTAGGTTTAAACACCTGTTCTTCACACCAGTTTTTGCATGCAGAGTAAAGAAGCAAACAAAACCCACAGACTTTTTAAGCAGCTGTACAGCCATACCTTAATTGTACAGTTAGAAATGAGATAAAGGTCAATTAAGTCTCAACATGACAGCCTACTTTTAATCTTGGAAGGTAATTTATTCTAGAGTTCATGAAAAACACTACCAAAATTCATTTAATAAAGTACATATTTAATTCTACTTTTATACTTCGCAGTTTAAAGCCTCAAAGTACATTACTTAAAAGTAAAAAAGTTGGCTAGGAAAGATATTTTAAAATATTCTTTCTCACTGGGCAGTGGTGACACAAGCCTTTAATCCCAGTACTCAAGAGGCAGAGTCAGGAGGATCTCTTTGTGACTTTGAGGTCTACAACTGAGAGCTGTTAATACAAAGAAACCCTCTCTAGAAAAGCAAAAACAAAAACAAACAAGCAAACAAACATAATAAAAATTCTTCCCCAGGCTGGAGAAATGACTCAAAGGTTAAGAGTGTATACTACGCAGTACTTATGTTAGGCAGCTCATAACCATATGTAACTCAAGCTCCAAGAAGTCCAATATTTCTATCTCGGCAGGCATGTATGTTCTGCAGGGCCTGGTGGCACAAGCCTCTAATCCCACTACTGGGGAAGCAGAGGCAGGTAAATATCTGTGAGTTTGAAGTCAATCTGGTATCATAGTGAGTTCTGGACAGTCAGAACTCTGAACTCTGTAGACCCTGTTTCAAACAAAACAAAACGAAACAAAACAAAAAAGGCAGACGGTAGTGGCACACACCTTTAATCCCAGCACTCAGGAAGCAAAAGTAGATAGATCTCTGAATTCAAGGCCAGCCTGGTCTACAGAGCAAGTTCCAAGACAACCCAAGTTACACAGAAAAATCTAGTCTCAAAGACAAATAAAGGTAAACAAACAAACAGAATGTTCTTTCCTTATTCTACCTATTTGAGTAGAATTAAGGACAGAGGATGTTAGTACTCGACTTTACTCCCAGTGCTTGGGAGACGGATCTCTGTGAGTTCAAGGCCATTCTGATCCACATAGTGAGTTCCAGGACAGCCAGGGATAGTAAGATCCTGTTTCAAATAAACAAGCAAATAAACAAATAAGGAATTATGGGGTTGGAGAAAGTGATTAAAAGTGATCAATGCTCTTATAGACAATAAGATTTGGTTCCTAAATTTCAAGGTAATGGAGTTCACAATCTCCTATAATTGCAACTAAAGAGGAACCAGGGCCCATCTTATAGTCTCTACAGACATCTATATGCACATGTATAATCACATGTATATACATACTCAAAACCAATAAAAATAAATTTTAAAAATTAATTATTAAAGTTAATAAAGAATTAAAGTGATACAAGCCTATGATCCCAGCCTGGGAGGAGCTCAAGATCAAGGCTAACCTTAATACATAGTGAATTCCAGGACAGCTTAAGCTACCCAGTGAGATGCTATCTCAGAAAAAAACAACAAAAATATTTGATTGAGCAAGATAAAAATGGACTCACAAATTTATGTTACACTGTTTGCCTAATTAGATAGATAGTAAGAAATGTCTGCTATCTGGGTATTTCACTATAAATTTCCTTAATTAATTTAAACAAATTTAATGTGTTTAAGGTATAGATATAATGCAAAATAAATAAATATGGACTAATAACTGGGTATTCTAATGCTGTACTACAAGCTTGAGCAGTCACTAAAAGTATGCTAAACAAAAATACCTAAGTCTATTTTTGTTCTGATTTGTGTATGTTTGTTTGTTTTTTTGTAAAACATGTAGCCCAGTTTGTTCTCAAACTTGTGATCCTCCTGTCTCTGCCTCCTTCACAAATCCCACCAGCACATGCCACCACAACTGGCTTGTTTTTGTTGTTGTTGTTGTTGTTGTTTTAAACTGAGTTTCAAAGTGTAGCTCTGGCTGTCCTGAAACTCATTCTGTATACCAGGTTGGCCTCAAACTCACAGAGATCCACCTGCCTCTGCCTCAGGTGCTGGAATTAAAAGCATGTGTCACCAGTGCCTAGCCCTAAGCCTATTTTAACAATCCAATTGTTATTATTATATACTGCACTGATATTTAGTATTTCTGACAAAGAAAACAATTCAATGAGATGATCTATACTTAAAGGTAAGATCTACCTTTCACAGGAAAGATGATTTTGGAATTGTCACTATAAAACGTACATATTGAGGCTGGGCAATGGTGGTGCATGCCTTTAATCCCAGCACTTGGGAAGCCAAGGCAGGTGGATCTCAGTGAGTTACAGGCTAGCCTTGTCTACAAAGTGAGTTCCAGGATAGTCAGAACTCTTACACATAGAAACTCCATCTCAGAAAATCAAAAAAGAAAAAAAAGAACATATGGAAACAACAGATATGAATACCTTACATCAAATAATTGTGCCTATTTTTTATGGTAAAGTAATATTTAAGTTTGAGTTATTATTTAGATGCCAACAGCTTCCAACATATCAATATACACAATTTCCAAACAGAAATGTAGATAACCAATAAACACATAGAATTTAACCTAACTAGTAATCAGAAAAAAAATCACATACAACTTTTTGCTGGTTAGAGTGGCTAAGATTAAAAATACAAACCTATAGACTGTACTTTTGCTACAGTTGAGTTCATCGCCCCTTGCAATGTACTCAAAACTTTTTATTCTGTTTAAAAAGGGAAAGATTGTGTGTAAAAGCATATACATAAGAGAAATGTATGTTGTCCATACCATGAGTAACATAAAAAAGCCTCTTAAAATGTTGCAGAAGTTCAAGATAAGTAAGAAAGAGTACTCATTATTTTCTGTAAAACAAAATTACAGTGTATGTAAAAAAGTTTCATTAAGAAGACAAAAAACCTTGGATTATTTGTCAAATTTTCTTTTGTAAGACAGGCATGGTGCTGCCTGCCTGCAATCCCAGCACTTAGGACACTGCTGCAGAAAGACTGAGTTTGAGAGGCTGGCCTGGCTAGAGAGCAAGACACTGCCTCAAAAACAAAAACCTATTCTGTATACTAGGTGAGATTATAATATACCTGAATTTTTGGTCTAAAAGAGTCATTGGATAGTAAGCACGATATGAGAAGATTCAGAGGATATATGTCAGTACCTCATCTCAACTCCTCTGCAAAAGATCCATGCCATATCCTGTGTAGTTCTGGCAAGAAACATTAATGAGAGGCCCCTGGCCCAGGCCTCACACTTTCGGCATCCTATTTCCTTTCACCCAGTCTAGGTCTGTGGGCTAAGCATGGTAATCATGTGGAATTTGATACTGATTAGCAAAACCAGAATGTTCCTTATTTTCTTATAAACTAATACTACTTATAAACCCAAATAAGCCAAAAGATGGGACAGGTGACACAGTATATGATGTCATCCTTCAATCCTCTAAATCTAGAGGTATTTAAAGTCAGAGAACTCTTAGACTTTTCAGTTAAATGAACCAATATATTTAATCTTTCCCTTAAATTGAGTTTTGCTGTAATGACTAATTAGGTTTGTTGCTGTTGTTTTGTTTTTGAGACAGGGTCTTGCTATATTGACTAGTCTAGCCTCAAACTCACCATCCTCCTGTCTCGTGCTCCTTTCATTTTTCCATGATCATAAGTATGATCTAAAAGGCAAAGAACGGTAATCAATCCTACACACACACACACACACACACACACACACACACACGAAAAATGATTTCCTAAAGAGTCTGCGATTAGAAGTGACAACAACGAAGGGTCAGAGAGCTTCTTTCCCTCCTGCATAGATAGCTCCCTCAGAATGTGCAGAGGACAGAGGTGAGGTGATCTTCAGGGCAGAGGAGGGAGACATGAAGCGGATAGATAACACGAGAAAAGGATGAGCGATGAAAACAGACTGCTCCAGTTCCTGACAGACTCCAGGTTTGGTTCAGATCTTCTGTGGAACTACCAAATTCCTACTCTTGAACTCCTAGGAGAGCCCTGCATTTTTACAATAAAGATATAAAGAAATAATAATTTAAACAGAGGGAGGAACTTACATAACTTTTCCAACATATCTAAAGCTTTGATGGTTTTCAGGAGAATACCTCAGGGAATGTAGCAATCTGCTTCCAAGTAACAGAACATACACATTTCCCTGAACTAACACACACACACACACACACACACACACACACACACACACACACACACACACACTAAGCCAAAGAAAGCAGAGACGTGCTCAATAAAGCCAAGTAACTTTCTAGCAGCCAAAACCAATTGTAACAGTCCCCAGAAAAGAAACCAAATTGGAAGCTTTATAGAGATAGCAATTTGCAGCTGTTGAAAAAGAAAAGTTTGGCACCAATTTACAGAAATTCTATAACGGCTATGAAAGTACTATATTCACTAGTATTAAGTTTATCTCACACACTACACAATCAAAAATAATTATTAATCCAAGCAACATTTTGAATTTTATTAACCAGAAGTGAGAAAATATGTATAGCAAAACAGCATAAGTTCACTTTAAAAAGTTATCTCCAAAAAATAAAAATACTTACACTTTTTGCCGTCATATCAAAACTGTATTCTATTTAATATTCTGCATAATCATTAAAAAACACACAAAAATAAAAACCTTCGTCTTCAATAATTCTTTAAAATATCCTGTTAAAGGGAAAAAGAGGAAATAGTAATGTAATAATAGGCAATATTTATGTCACATTTACTGAGACATATACTTCTAAGTGAATTGTCTAAATTAATTCTGGGACAGCACTAGAAAAATATGCATCATTTTTACCTCCATCCAGGAAACAACTGGGGTTTAAAGCAGTTAAGTCATATGACAAGTCAGCTCTACTCTCAAGGGATACAGCAGAGTTATACTGCATTGCTTTAAATAATGCACTGAAAGAAACACCAGGGCTTCATGGAGAAAGGGCTGGTTTCAAGGCAAGTCAGGAAAGGTACAGGATAAACCTCGAATATTTTATTGTTCCAAAAGACAAAATGTTCAAACACTGACAGATATGTCAAAAATACACAAGGGCCAACTTAAAAGAGCCTACAACTACACACTGAAGCACACCAAACTATCCTAATGATAGTAAAATTGTAAACCCAATCAAAATACAATTAGAGATGATACAAGAAAATGTAAAGTATTAAAAGAATGTTCACTGAAAATATAATGAATTCTTCAGTTGTTGAAACCATCACAATAAAACAGTAAAGGAAGAACATAACAAAGGGTAACACTAGCTCCTAGAAGTATGCAACAAGATATGGACATGATATTGAAATACCTCCTCAAAATTTCCAGTAAAGAAACCTTACACACAACTTTAATGATCAAAGTTACCAAATGGCCACCAATAATAAGTCATCATATGTCCTAAGTGCACTGAGATGGATATTTCTGAGATATTACTGTCTAATATGCAAAACCTAACCATGAAAACAAAAAAACAGAGGAATACAAAGTGAAAGATATTCTTCAAAATAGTGGCCTAAACTCCGTAACTCCTCAAAAATTGCTAGAGCCAAAAAAAAAAAAAAAGCAAAAAACATCCATATTTAGAAAAACTAAAAAAAAAACTAAAAAATAGGAAAACTCAATTCAGTGAGCAATCTCAAAATAAACACTGGATCAGAAAAACATAATTCCTAAGAATACCAATATTGGGGTAACTGGAAAAAAATCCACATTCCAGATAATGAGAGAGAGAATGTGCACTGTTTTTCTGTCCTTTTCTCTTTCTTTCTTTCTTTCTTACTTTTTTTTTTTTTTAAAGACAGAGCCTTGCTACAGAGTTCTGGCTAGTCTAGAACTCAGTATGTAGTTCAAATGGCCTCAAATTCATGGCTATCATCTTGACTCTACCTTCTAAATGCTAGAATTACAGGTATAAGCAACAGGCCCAGATTTCATTGTTGTTTCTGGATATTTGTCCATAAACTATAGGGTCTTTTTCTAAGTGAAATATCATTTATATTAGAAAAATGAAAATAAAACCACCAAAATCCCTTAGGAGGCTAGGGGCCTGATAACAAGGATTAAACTTCAAATGAAACATGTATGGGAGAAATGAAAATAAAACGTATAAAAAGGTTTCTAACTAGTGAACCTGGGCAAGGGCGTGCAGGAGCTCTCTGTTCTAGTTCTGTAGCTTTTCTTATTTTTGTATGTTTATTTGATCTTTGAAGAATGGGTCTCATATTATTTTCTTTTAAAATTACTTTGCTAGCCATAGTTACATCTCTAGTATTATTTACAAGCTGAGGCAAAGCTACCTTAGGCGACGTAGTAACACAGTGATCCAGGCTAACCTAAGCTATACAGTGAAATTCTGGCTCAAAAATAAATAAGTAAACATTAAATAAATTATCTTAAAACAGAAGTCGGGTTAATTAAAATTTTAATATAGATTTTAAAGCACTCAAGTTAAAAGAGAGGCACGCAGAAAGAAAAAAGATACACCTAAGAATGTAAAGGTAGGAAGATCAATAATTAAAGGCCAGCTTTGAGTGACAGAAAGTTCCAGAGCAGCCTGAGCTACATGAGCCCCTGTCTCAAATCCCAACTGGGCCAGAGAGATGGCTGAGAGGATATTGAACAACCCTGGAGACTGAAGTTTGATCCCAGGAACCAAAGTAAAGTTAGAAAAGAAGTGACTCTACAAGGTTGTACTCTGACCTGCATTACGTGTGCTGTGGCATGGGCACCCATACACATCATACACACTACTAATAATAAAAATGTTTTACGATTTTCACATACTCATGTACATACACAGCCAGCATGAACTCGACTCAGTGGGATATAAGAAAAAATTATAAAATAGAAAAGGGCACCTGAGAGCTAGAAATACATTGTAAACATGTATCTCAAAAACATAATATTTAAAACAAATAACATCATAAACACACACAATAATAACATGAAAGGGAGGCTGGAGAGATGGGTCTACAGTAAAGAGCACTGATTGCTCTTTCAGAGGACCCAAGTTCAATTCCCAGCACCCACATGGCAGCTCACAACTGTCTGTAGATCTAACACTTTCACATAGACAAACATGAAGGAAAAATACTAATGCACACCAAAAAATAAAATAAAAAGTGTGTTACTCATTAAAAAGAAAATCAAATATCAAAAAATTAGATTATGACCTACTAAAATACAATCCTGACAGAAAATGATTTAGAATCATTAAGATTTATGAGCTTCCTATATAGAGATTCAAGGCAGATATTATTCCCTATTATTGTTCTCTTCCTTAGGAAGTTGAAGATAGCAATGTGTTCACCAAAATGTTTCCCTTTCATTCCTCACAGATGGTCTGACCATATAACATGACTTAGTTCTGGCCAACAGGACATAAGCAATGAAGTGAGCCAGCAGATTTGGCTACAAGGGATCCCTGTCTCTATCTCACTAGCCCAGAGCATGGCTGTAATGGCTGCAGCTGATTTTCCCTATGCATCTACTTTATTTCTGTACTCAATATTCAATACTGTATCATAGTTCCTAAAAATCAGGCTACTGAATGGCACTGTGCTATTTAAGCAAATAAACAGAAACTAACAAAAGGTTGGAGATGTATCAATAACTAGAGTGTTTACTGAGAGTCTGGATTAGATACAGTACCACATGGGGGAGAGGAACAGTTAAAGAATTAGGAAATTAACAGAATCTATTTCAGAACACTACAGAGACTACCAATAAAAATACTGTTTAGCCACATCAATGAAACTGACAGAGCCAAAGATAATTATGTTTAGTATTCTCTTTGAATCTTCTTACCAGAAATCGGCAGACTGAAATCTCTAAATGTGGTCTAAATGATAAATGTTTAAAATAGAGCCAAAGGTGCCCAAATGTTTATTGAACAAATTTACCATTATATTTCTGTGCCTCAATTTCTGTTCTCTGCCAAGCATTAAAGTCATATATACTTCATTAAATAAAATAATATATATAAAATCACTAAGATACTGCCTAACACAGAATAAACAATGTTGGGGGTGAGGTAACAGTTTTGATTTCTCACAAAAAGTTAAGGTTTCTTCTTCCAAAATAAGCAATGAATAATCTGCATAAAGGAGAAATGAAAATTACAACAGAAACCTCATTTTTCAAAGAGAAAAAAAATGTTTTTAATTACAAAACAAAAAAGGTTGAATATCCTAAATATTTTTAAAAGATATTTTTAATTTTTAAAGATTCTTTTGTATTGACTAACACAAAAATTACCTGCAATTTTTCAATATGTGACTTTAAACTTTCCAAAATGTCAAGAAGAAAAAGGGACACCAAATGTTTTCAGAAGTTGCTATCTTTGGCAATGCTGATGAGTCTCAGATACAAACCAGTCATGTGTGCTGATGCATGGTGTTTATCCAAACTCAACAACTGCACACTCCTTTCTGTTTCCAAGATCTTCTGTTAGTTAAAAACATAAGTCATATTTCTTCTTCCAGCTTCATGAACACATTATGTCAAGCTCAAAAAGTCAATCTTTCGACCTCACCATCTGTCATGATCTCTTCTCAACTTTCAGACAATGTAACTCCCACAGATGGTCTCAACATGCAAGTCCTTTTACATTCCAATCACAATTTAGAGGTTCCAGCATAAAACCCAAGATGATATACTAACCAAAATACAAAAAAAAAAGCAAGCAATTTCTTGCTTCAATCAGGATTTGTAAACTTTCTAATAGTGCCAGTAAAAGAAGCTACAAAATTAAAGTTCATCAAAGTAACACGTTATTACCAGGCATTATTAATTTTAAAAACATTCTCATGATTCAAAGTTTAAAACATCCAAAATAAGCACTTGGCATGAAACTCAGTGGTAGAGCACTGGCCTAGCATGTGGGAGACTCTGGGTTGAATACCCAGCACCACAAAGATACATATATAAACAGATGAATTAATGAATAAATAATGAAGTACCAGCCTTACTGGGAGTGTAAATCAAATAAAGAATATGTGCTTAGTTCCTACTGAATCACTGTCCATGTATCTTCCTGATCCAATTTCACTACCTTTAAACAGTTTGGTTTTTGGGTTTTTTGATGTCTGAGTGTGTAAGTGTATGTACACGACTGTGTATAAGTACACAAATGTGTTGAAGGAACTGGCTCTCTCATGGTGGATCAAATTCAAGTTACCTAAGCTCAAACTCAGGTCACCAACCTTGGCAGTAAATTCCTTCACATATCGAGCCACCTCCTTATCACTTTGCTAGTCTTTTACAGTTCTTCATAAATATATTCCTCCTGTCTCAGGTACTGTGTACATGTTGTTTCTCCTGACTGAGGGTTTTATCTGGTTAAATTCCTCCAGATCTCTTCTCAGATGTCCCTCCTCAAGGAAAACAATCCCCTTTCCTCTGCCAAGATAAGGTCAGAGGCTTCTACTTACTGCTCAGCTACTTTCTCTTTTCATAGATACCTTGAACTGCCATAATAAATTTATTTATGTGATTATCAGACTGTGATCTATCTCTGTCAACTAATGTGTAAATTCCATGAGGGCAGGAGCCCTGATCATTTAATTCATTCTATATCCAAAGTCTGTACAAGAAAAGAGCTTAGGGAATGTCTGTTAAGTGAAATATATCAATATTTTTAAATACATGAAAAGCCTATTCAATATGA